ATTGCACGTATGTCTGTCGAGCAACAGCATAGCGTTTTCTATGCTCTGGCCGCACGGTGCAGAGTCAATCTACTTGACGGCATTTTTTCTTTAATAAAAGGATACCACCCAAAAACAGTGGAAGCTGGCCTTAATTATACCTGCCTGTCTCTGAAATCTCAAATCTTGAGCATCTTAAACCTATAAGCTTATTTTATTACCCATAATTTTAAAAACTCTAGAAAAAATCATACTGAAACAATATAGATTATACTTGAAGGATACAGGGGCAACAGATGGAATGTCACAAAGACCAAATTTTGTGTAATTAACATTTTAATATTTGAAAGACAATAACTTTTTAAATTATCAATTCATTCTACAAGTGGTTAATAGGAACTTAAAACTACATTATAAGGCTTAATTTTAGGCACATATAAAACTTATGCAGAGATAACTAATTGTAAATGTAATCAAAAATTAAAGTAATTTAATTATTTCGAGTTCAAAAACAAGGATTGTCCATTACATCCAAAACAAAGAATGTTTGAAACTAATTAACGTTACTAATTATATATGAGTAATGCTATCAAAAAAGGCTTAAGCTCCAGCAGAACACAATGTTTTCAGGAATATGAGGTTCTCATACTTCTCTGTACTAATTAATGGGTAGATAATCTTTGTAGGCAAAATCTGGTAATACATACTGATTGTTGCATGAAGATTCGTGCAGGATTCTTCTTTCTCTATTCAGTATAAATGAATTTTCCCACAAACCATTGCACTTAATTCATTGCAAATTTAATCCTGGACTACCTCTTATGCCCATTATTTCTCTTTGTGACTGGATTGGAAAATATGTCTTTTCCAAGTACATATCTTGGAAAAAGTTAGTTACCTTACTGATGATTTCACCCGTCCCCACTTCAATCACATCAAACGGTTTGGGTCTTTGGAGACTTATTTAAAGGGACAAATTTAAATTAACCAAGTCCATATTTTTGTCGCATTCTGAGTGTGAATGGTGACGGATAGGATACGTTACTTTTATCGAATCCAAAAGCTTCATTGTATGGACCACAAAATGAATAAACCTCACTACAGTGTAGTTCTTGTTCTATCTACCTGCTGAGTCGCAACAGATTCCCGAATGATTCACGCGACGATCAAATTAATTTGTCAAGTAGTGGAATATAAATAAAACTACTTCATCTGAACCTTTTTCAGGATAGGTGTAAAAGTAGGAGCTAGCAAGACATGTAAATTAAATTAGTACATTGACAACTGGCATTCATAATACACATCATTAGTGGTGATGTTTCGCAGTGAGAAATTTTTTTGATAGAACATGGCAATAGCTTGAAATTCAGATTCAGCTCTGCTTTTGATTCTAGCATTCTTCTTCCTATCATAAAATGTTTGAGTCTTCTTCTTGTGCAAATTGTTCAGAATAGTTAAACGTTTCAGCTGATCATTATTTCCTTCCCCCATCAGTGCTTGGCTTTTATTTGAAATTCATCGCTACTGCTACAAGTATCGGTACGTTGGTAGTGGTGGTAGTGGGTAACCGAATGATATGTTGAATTCTGTGTTAAATATGTTTCTCCAGATTTGATAAGATACATTATTTTCAGGTTGTGGGTATTGATCCGAATACATGTTGAATTTTTTTTTATATTTAGGTCTTGAGGTAAATATTCTTTTTTGGTATCAGTCAAACTGTAGTGGCTTTGTCTTCCTTCGAATGATTTAGTATGGTTACAGTTGTTTAACATTAAGGTTTAATTTTTTGTGAGAGCCTGATTTGCCTCTTTTATGACATGGCACATTGCCTGTTGATTTCAATAACTTTAAGAGGTGCTCAGATTTTTTGCTGCTTCCAAATATGGACAAAAACGCCTTGTAGCAAACATCCATACTTACTGTTAATAAACCTAAAATCCTTATGTCATAAACAACAATGTGGTACAAAATGGTGTAATTTGTCGACTTTACCTAACCTCAAAGTTAATTGTTTGGCGACTGACACGTGGACATTCCTTCTTACGTTCTGTTACGTTAAGGACATTTCCTGTTTTGTGCCTGCACTACGGTTCGAAACGTGGATGAAATTATGGACTACACAGGTTTTTACACTTTTTGATTCATACCCAATGAAATTACACAGGAAACTGCAGATGTTGCCATCATTTTTGAATTTTTGCGACATTCCTTGTTTTGCCCCTGTACCCTTCACTTAAAGTGAAACGAAATATCAAACAAATTTAAATCAAGACGATCACGCTCAGAAAACAAATGTCGAACCAGCGAGTGAGCGCTTTCGCGCCAGACACGTCATGTCAAATTCCATTAAGCCATTTGGACTATAATAGGTACATTTGTGATAATTTTTTTTTTTTTATTTGTAAATACAGAAGCCGCATCGACCCAATTGGCCATTAGCGGCGGATTTAATAAATTACAGTTTACTTAGATATTTGCATTTTTGTAGAAATTTCAGGAGGTTTGTGAGATTGCTACTAGGTCCTAGTATAACTGATAGTTCTTTATCAAGGTTACATGATATTCTGTAATGTTCTAACATTGGGCACTCCACTAAAATATGTTCAACGGTTAAAGTCACGTCACAAAACACACAATAGGGTTCCGGTTGCTGCATGATTAGGTATTCATGTGTTAATCTGGTGTGGCCCAGACGAAGACGGCTTAAGATTGTCTGCTGCCTTCTATTGGAGGTGATGGTCTGCCATGGACTTAGATGGTGTTTTACCTTTAATAGTTTGGCTGATTTATTTTGCCATGCATTGTTCCAATAATCAATGGTTCGATTTTGGTAAAATAGTTTCACATCTGATGTAGGAACTTTCTTGTTTGTCACTGTGTCCATGTTCGCAGTCATTTTTGCGTTCTCGTCAGCTATTTGGTTGCCCTGTATATTTTTGTGTGATGGCACCCATATTACGGTTACTTCTTTATTTTGGAGTGCAAGGCTATGTATTTCCATTTTTATAATATTGACCAGTGGATTGTTGTTATATATTTTTGTGATCAGTGTAACTGAGTTAAGGGAGTCGGTAATGATGACCCACTTCCGACTGGAGCTTAGTTTGATGTATTGCATAGCTTCTCTAATTGCATACAATTCGCCAGTTAGTATTGAGGCTGTTTCTGGTAGCTTGAATTTCATTGGACCTGAAGGAGTAACTACAGCGGCACCTATGTTTTGTCCAATCTTCGAGGCATCTGTGTATAATTGTTGAGCTTCTGTAAATTCTCCAATAATACTTCGGAAATGTTGATTTACTACTTCGTTTGGTGTATTGGTTTTGTCGAATTTTGTAAGAGTTGTGATACTGGCTGGCTTGTATAGTGTCCATGGTGGAATAGTTACTGGGAAGATGGGAAGTGTGGATGGTGGATTTTGTATGTTGAGTTTTCTTAGGTAAATTTTAATTCTATTCTGGAAAGGGGTACCCCACAGCGTATCTCTATAATTTCTTTTAGTGGACAGATATTTTTGAGCCGACATATTAAGATTGCTGATTTTCTTGTTGAAGTAGGAAAGACTTAGTATCTGTCGACTGGTATGTAGTGGCGCTTCTCCCGATTCGCAGTACAGGCTATCGACTGGAGTTGTTCTGTATGCTCCCAGGATCAATCGCAAGGCGGTGTTGTGTAAAACATCTAGGGGTTTTAGAGTTGAGGGCTTAGCTGAGTTGTAAGCAACACATCCGTAATCCATTTTTGATCTTATTAATGCTCTATAAATCATAAGTAGCAATTTACCTTCTGCGCCCCAATGTCTATTAGATAAATATCTTAACATATTCATTCCTGCCTGGCATGATTTAATGACATTTGCGATGTGTTTCTTCCAGTTTAATCTGTTATCAAAGGTTACCCCAAGAAATTTGATTTCACTGGTATATTCAAAGGATTTCTTGCATAACTTCAATGGGGGTTCTTCGTGAATCGGTTTTCTAGAGAAGATAATGCATTTGGTTTTCTCTGGGGAAAACACAAATCCTGTTTGATTGGACCAGTAATCAAGCTTGTCAAGATACTTTTGCAGTAGTGTTATATTTGTTGTTAAGTTCTTGCCTCTGACATAAACAATCATATCATCTGCGTACAGACGTGCTTGCAAAGGTTTCTCAATATCTTGTAACACATCATTGATTGCTATTAGGAAAAGGGTTGGACTAATAACAGAGCCTTGAGGTAATCCGTTCGTTTGCTGTTTTGGTTCTGATAGCACTCCATTTGACCGTACTTGAAAGATTCTGTTTTGTAGGAAGTTAGAGACAAAGGATAATATGTTACCATTGTACCCCCATTTATGAAGTTTCGAGATGATATTGTATTTCCAGGTAGTATCGAATGCTTTATTAATGTCGAAATAGATTGCTACACAGTGTTGGCTGTCCGAGAAGGCTTCGTGTATATGGGTTTCCAAATCTATTATGTTGTCTGTGGTGCTTCTGTTTGATCTGAATCCAGCTTGTTCAGATATTAGCAGGTTCCTGTGTTCTAAGCTCCATAACAGTCTTCGATTTACTATCTTTTCAAGTAGCTTACACATACAACAGGTTAAAGATATCGGTCTATATGATTCAGGGAGTTGTGGAGATTTGTTAGGCTTGAGCACGGGAATAGTTATGGCTTGTCTCCAGACCTCAGGGAATACATGGTTGGTCCAAATATTATTGAATAAATCTAGTAAAAGTTTCCTAGCAGACAACGGAAGATGTTTCAAAAATATGGCTGGTATGTCGTCGGGTCCGGCGGCCGTGTCTTTGAGATCGTTTAGTGCTTCTGTAAATTCAGATTCTGATAAGGGCGTATTAATTGGTTCACTGTCATCTTCTATTATAATTTGTTTTGATTCTGAAATTGCCTTATAGCTTAGAAATCCGGCTGGATAGTTCTCGACACTGTAATGGGAATGGTACGTTTTAGACAATACTTTATGAAAGAAAACAGTTCCCTCGAAAAAGTCTTTTATTTCCAGGAATACACACAAAGAGCGCCCTAATCCAATCCCAGTCCACAGGTTCGGAGTCTGATGATTCGGAGGTCCTGATCTGGCTCCCGGACCCCCCTCTCCGCGCCAAAATCGCCTCCAGCTCCGTGTCTGACACCCCCATTGCAGAGGTGATGTGGACCCCCTCCTGGGAGGTCAGGCCGGCCACTTGGGAGACAAGAGAAAAGGGAGCCATCCCCTCCTTGGCCTCCCTCCTCGATTTCTCGAGGAGCTCCCTTCTCTTGGGGCGGGATCCCTCCTCACGCCCGGATGGTTCGGGCCCCCCTTCCTCTCCTCCCTTTGGGGATCCCTCCCTCCCTCCCCCCGAGGGCCCCTCATCTGACCTCGGGGGGGCTGCGGGAGATCGGGATTTGGGACCCTTCTTGAGAAGCCCCTTTACGCCTCCCAGGAAGGGAAAAGCATTTAGGAGGTCCGCCTCCCCTGCCCCGGCTCCACTGAGCTTCTCCAAGGCCCTCCTCCGCTCCGCTCGAGCTGAGATCCATTCCGCCAAAGCCTCTTCCCTCGTCCTCGAGGTCATCTCCCGAAACAGTCGGTTGGACCTGTTTCCGGGAATCAGGCGGGACCTGAACTCATTTGTGATAATGTGATCTTACTTATTGATGTACTAAGAATGGAAATATAACGTAAACATGGACGTTTGGGCTGTAAACATTCCAAAGCTACTTCCTCGAGATAAGTAGTAGCCTATGTGCTATTGTAGCCTATAATCGATCTCTCCTCCAAATTTCATCCAGATCCGTTCAGCCATTTTGTCGTGATTCAGTAACAATCACCCTCACTTTTAAATTTATAATATTGAGTAAGCATTAATATTACTAATAACATGATTAAAACAAATTAATTTTCATTTCGCGTTCTTGAAATTCCTATAATCAGCGAAAGTTTTTCTTCTTTACTCGAGTTTACTATATACCACTGCAACTACTGCAATGCTGTTCGTTCTGAAAAAGGATGGCATGTTGGGGGATTTCCCCTAAATTTGAAGGATTTTTACTTGAGGAATTTGTTGAGATGTAATGTTCTGGGGGAATCACACGTTTCGCAGATAGAAACCTACCCCTTTCCATTATCGTTACACCTAGATGTTTTTTTGAAAAAGTAGCAATTTCTGATGTAAAGTAAACCTGGAATCTGTCGAAAAAAGTGCTACCCTCGATAGTAAATGGTGTGGGAATGGACCAATTACAAATTTTCGGACGTCCTTTTTCTTTTAAATCTTGTTCCACTAAAAACGGTACTTGCTAGAATACTAGGTGGTACTAGCGGAACAAAACAGAATATTCAGAAAAAGCTATAAGAAGGCTGGAACCGTACATTGAATGTATATAGATAGATCTTGTACTGAAAACAAATATAGCAGATAGAGGATCGAGTAACACAAAAATAGCAGAAATACTTTTGTACAAAGCCATCAGTTTTAGTATACGGAGCTAGAGCGATTAGCATTAGAAGTTGGTGTTTTATTACCTTCACACCTTGCAACAAACATTCGACTTTATTTTTGTTCCCAATCAGAATCGTTTAAGACTGACTGTGTGAGAGGGAGCAATGACTATGTGCGGTTTGAGGAGTTTCAGTGCCATATCACTAAATTGTATAATAATTAATTTATAGTAGGTTTGCCACAAGAACACAGGTGAGATACAGGTTAAAAAATAATACGATTAGAGTAGCGCGATAGTCCCAAACGCTGGCTCCACAATCCTACATTACACGCATAATACCAACGAAACCATTCTATATATCAACAATGTTCAGCTTCCAGGTGGCTGTAATTGTAATTGTAAGTTTATCAATTTTCTCACTTGATATCTTAAAAATTAATTACAAGAAACACATAACTCAAAAACGAAACCGTGCCTTTGAAGCTTTATATGATCATTCTAAAATTCGTTTGCTTTTCCGCATTGAATTCCGGCCTTGAGAATAAACGTAATCTTTCCCAACATTAAATTAATCGTTATCACAAACCAAAAGAGGCCATACTTTTTATTTTTAGGCAACATTAAAAAATTACCGCTATTCAGCGGTTGAAATGTCCATAAAATCTAATGACTAACGTTCGACACTTTTTCCGAAGTGCCCCAAAAGTTTTGAAAACGGTGAAAAAACATGCAAAAAGCTGTAACTTTGGAGTTCCGCCAGATTTAGAGATAAGTTTTGGGGATTACTTTTATAGTAGTGAAACAATAAAGTTCACAAAGTTTTTTATGGATATCAAAAGCTTCAGCTCTTTTGCTGTTTTTAACTGTTTTTTGCCCATTTCACCCCCTTTTGAGGCACTAGGTCTAGTTTCGGACAACCAAACTTTATGCGCATTAGTTTTTTATCCAAAACAATTAATTTTTGTGCGATACCTAATCCCGGAAATTAGGGCGGACTTGAAATTCGGAAAAAATGTTGAACTTCGTAGTCATTAGATTTTGGGGTCATGTCAATCCCTAAATGGGGGTAATTTTTGAATATTTTCAAAAAACAAAGTGTAATTTTTCATAACGATTAATTTGAGGTATAAGGATCCTTTTTAGGCGAAAATACTGCATTTTGGGGTTAGTCGTTTTTTCTGTAAAAAAATTAAATAATACGACTCAAACGAGTCAGTGTAATTGTTTAGGATTATATAGAAAAACGGTCGATCACGTTCAAACCACACAAAAACATGTCTCAATGGAATACCTGTCATATAAAAGTTTAACCATACTACTATTCGTCATTATGCGTCAGAGCGGTCCGGTGGACCTTTGCTCTTAGTTAAGACCATATATTGTGAGCAAACCTACAAGCACTATTTTTTCAAACCTAAACCGCGCATAAACGCTGCACTCTCGTTTATAGATTGATTTTTTCGCATTATATTACTGGTTTCCGCAATGTTATTTGTAATAAAAATGATGTTATTAATGTGCTACTTAAATAGTTTATATATTGCAAATACCTACTTTGTTATTTGTCATAGCATTTTTTCTTATTAATATAGCTGTTAATATTTCCGAATTGGATCTTTGATACTCCATTTTTAATTATTTTATTTTATCGGTTATTTGTTAACAATTATAAATATAGAATAAATAATAAAGTGACCTATTATAATTCCTTATGTGTCTTATTCTTAGACCATCAGCTACCTGTTTATCCAGTTGCCTGCGCATCCTATCACGTGACGTCCGTTCAACTTCAGTCTTGGCCAGTATCTGACTAGGTAACAATTATACCCTATTTGACGAGTATCCATCACGCTTTGACGTCTACTGAGGTGAACAGATGATCAGCAAGTGACATTTTTGTGTTAGTCTGCAACGTTGGCATTAATGAATCGGTTGTAAATCTAGTAAACTTGTTTGTGGTGTTTTATTTTTGGAAGCAAATGAACTTTTCTGAATAAAACAGCTGTTAGCAAGTACAAAAAGAATCTGTAGTGTACAAAAAACCAAAACAAAATACGACTCTGACTACCTGACGTGTCGGATCCGTCAGAATTATGTGTCCTGTGCCGATATGGGGAATTTTGAGATATTACCTACTAGATAATCGACTGCCATTCCACCGTGATGGATACTCGTGAAACAGGGTATACGTTTCACGTCTCTGTCGGTGTGGCTTTGTTTATCGCCACGTCAATCAGTAAACCTGCCAATTATGAAATGACGTCAGTAATTCGGTTTTTAAATGCAAAAAAGTTCGTCCTGCTATAAATGTAGATTCTGTGAAACATTATTTAAGGTTAGGCACGCTATACAAGAATAAATCCGTCGGCGGGGCCTGCTCTCTAGTTCTGTTTCACGAGAACGCTCGGCCTCACGTGGGTGCAAGAACACAGACTCAGTTCTGTTGGGACTTAAACTAGGCTACCCACCATCAGACTTATCTTATATTTTCTACGTCACTGGACTTTTCTGAAAAAAATGGATTTTATGAAATACCAATTAATTTACCAGAGATTTTGTCTCTTAAGCAATCTCCTCACTTATTTGAATTGGCTTTTCGCTTGAAAATAAGGCATTGACACGGAAAACCCAGGAAGCATTGAATCACCAAAGGTCTTAGGCCGAAAACATGAAGAATTATACCATTTAATTATAGATGCCTAATATAAAAATATTATAATAACTACAAAAAAACTGAACAGAAAGTTATTAAGTGAAGCAAAACAGCTATACCATCGAGATCTGATTATCAATTCTAGCAATAAATCAAGAACCGTTGGGAAAATCATCAAGTCTGATAGAAATATAGAACGTAAGCTCGATCTGTGAATAATAACCTGATCACCGACTCTAGTGAAATTGCTGACAAATTCAACAATCACTTCTAAGAGGTCTCAAAAAACCTCAGAGGAGATAATATTCAGAAGCTTGTTTCGTTCAATGTAAAGAGTCCGCAGGGCTTCTTTTTTCATCCAGCCACTGAACAAGTTATCTCAAGCATAATAACAAATTTGAAAAGATCGGATTCTACTGCAGATGATGCTTACAGCACCAATTTGCCGAAGAAATGTTACATACAGATATTACAGCGATTAACATATTTAGTTAATCTATCTCTAGAAACCAAGAAATTTCCCGAAGAACAAAAACACTGGAATTATCCCTATACCCAAATCAGGAGAGCATCAATAATACAGGCCAATTATCCTTCTTAAGCCCAAGCAAAAGTTATAGAAAAATATGTTGCCTTTTGCTTGACCAAATTCTTTATTAAACATAACTTTTTCAACCCTTACCAATTTGGTTTTCTCGAGGGAATGCCCACAGCTCAAGCCATTTCTGTTTTTCTAAACATGCTATATACAGCTATGGACGAAAATAAGAAAACAGTAGGACTATTTGTATATGAGCAAAGCTTTTAATCAGGTAGATCACAAACTTCTACAAAATCTGGAGTTCCACGGAGTAAGGAGACTTCCACTTACGTGGTTTGAGAGATACCTTCGCAATAGACTCCATATGTACAAGATGGTAACCACAAATCCCGCCCAACCACATGCCGCATTGGAGATCCTCAGGGCTCAATACTTGGACCTATGCTATACATAATATACATAAATGATTTCAACAGCAACAACTTCGTTATGTATGCAGATACTAGATGCTACCACAGTGCCAACCCAGCTGCATCCACGACAACTGAAATAACACGGATTATTAATGAGTGGTTTGTTGATAATGGGCTGGCATTGAACAGGGAAAAGCCATTGCTTATTCGTTTCATGTATATGTTACTGTGAAAGTCCGAAATCCGGTGAAAATCGGTCAGTCCGTTAATCACATATTCTTTGGGTGAAAATAAGAGGACTCTCAGATGACCATTTTTCATTTTGAGGTTTCCTGTTCAGAATAATAAAAATAATAAAATCAGTAAAAGATGTGTTTGCCAATAGTTCAGGCATTTCTCAAAATATTCAAATAAAATTTATAACATATATTTCTTTTGTTGAAGCACGCATTTCGCGAAAATTTGGTTGAAAATAATAGAAAATGGCAATATAAAAGCCCTATTATTTCCACCCGAAGAGTGTGTGGTTAATGGATTGACCTCCTCTAAAAAATGTTTTACTGAACATAAT